ATGAATGTCATTGTGTATAATACAAGCCTGAGAACAAAAACTGTAGTCTACACTTCAGCTCTACACCGAAGCGAAGCGAGGGCGGGCCGCTAGTTTATAATATTTATCCACATGTTTCTAGTTTGTATATTCGGAATACGTGTTTGAGTTTCATACAAGTGCAAATCACATATGTTCTAATAAATTATATTCAGTAGGGATTTTAATTGAATATTTTGATTATTTATTTATTTTTTCAAATGAAAACTGAACTTTATTGACTGTGTCCTTTTCCAGACTTTTTATTAATTTATTGTAATTAATTATTTGCATGCAATTAAAAACTAATTTTAAACGATGCCAAAGAAGGATAACTTCTCACGCGCCTACATAAGTACACGCACCCATTTTTTATTGTAATGTGATTCATCAGTAGACCTAAACGTGCATAGATTTCCCTTTAAGTAGGACTCTCTCTAAGAAATAAATTAATTAATTTAAACATCTAGCAGTTAAATGCTTAAAAACATATAGTCCAGTCGGAATAGCCATAATTTGGACCGACTTCTATTCTAAGACACCAGCGCTTAGCCAATTTTTTCCTAGATAGTATAGACCCCCACGAATATGCCCTCCATTTGTCCCCGCTAGAACCCGTGTTTTGTAGCCAGGAAAATTGTTTAAACAAAGAAAAACCGGCTTTTTTGAGTTTTTTTGCTTGTAAACGGGGATTTTGAAAATTTTTTTGAATCAAAGTTGTTCATTAGCTTGCCCTCTACAAAATCAGTTCTATGAAAAAATAACGTGAGATTGTTAGTTTAATGGAGGGCATATTCGTGGGGGTCTATACTATCTAGGAAAAAATTGGCTAAGCGCTGGTGTCTTAGAATAGGTCTCATGTTTATTCCGACTGGACTAATAACAATAATTGCTATTTCTTCTTTCATATATTTAATACTTGAAAAAGTATTAATTTGACATTGTGGGTTACATACAATGCGAAGAGATGGCGCTTCCTTGCAGCTTAAGGTAAGGAAAATTTCGACGCGGCCATCAAGAACGTGGTAGCATAATTGATCAGTGCATTCGCCCGGATTGCGAAGGGTGCGGGTTCGAGTCCCGTCCGCTGCTTGGTCCGCGTGGATTTTTTTTCAAGTAAAACTTTTCATATAATATTTTATTTTGAAACCGCTGAATATATTGAAATATTCAGTATACTTATTCCTGGGCGTGATTTATGCCCCTATCATATAAAACGTAACGCTTACACTGGCTTAGACGAGGGTTCAGTCAAGAGTATTTGTCACGGTGGCAAGCAAGTGCCTGTTACCCTTTTGATTCGAAACTCGGTGGTTATCGAAGAACGGTTACCTCGCGTCCTTCCATATATCACGTGGAGAGAGGACAAATCGTCGCCGCTGCCGCCGCCCGCGCCACCCGTGCCGCAGGGTTCCCAACTTAGGGGTTTTGCCCCCAGATTTAGGGCTTGAAGGGTTAAAACGGACTTTTTTAGGGGCTGGAATTTTTTGGGGGTTCTTTAAGAGGCTTTTAACAAAACTTTCAATTAAATCGAAAAACAAAACGTGCGTTTTCTTTCAGTTTTGTCCGTAGAATGGAACGAACCACGATATGAAAAGACTGAACTCACTGTGTGGCAGGTTGTTTCCTGTATGGGCTAAAGTTCTTTGCCTTCCACCAATCAAAACAGTTAAATAATATTTAACAGCCTGTCAGCTCATTTTCGTTTGATTTTCCATTCGGAAAATGTATTTATTCAATAAAATAATTTACAGTAACTAAATATAATATAACGTTTTAATTTATGAGCAACGAAAGAATTTAGGTAATAAGATAAGTAGGTACATATAAATTTCTATACAGTGGAGCCCCGGTAATCCGGCCCCTGGCTAATGCGGCACCCCCTATAATCCGACATCGTCTATTACATACAAGTATTCGCTAATTCACGATTTAACAAGTTACAACTTGTACGCACCATCACTATTGTGCTCGACGCGTAGGGTATTGTATTTTTATATTTTTTTGTAAATTCTATAGCATTAATGACGTTACTTTTATAATAAAACGTAATCTTTCTATTGTGTTGTTTAATTTACTAAATTTGACATACATAACAAAGTATGATTTGTAATCTTATCATTGGATCTGTAATTTGTCGGATTACAAGGTACTCTTTTGTAAAAAAATTCGGACTATAGGGGGTCTTAGGCAGTACTCTATAATCCGACAAATTCGATAGTTCGACACTGCCCTGCAAAATGTTTGTCGGACTACCGGGGATCCACTGTATTTAGGGGATTTTAGGGGAATTTAAAAAATACTTAGGGTAAAATTTTGGTAAGGGTTGGTAACACTGCCGCGCCGCCACTCGTCACTGTCACCGCGCCGGTCGCGCCCCGTGCACTCACCGCTTTAATGACGCTATTACTACTCTGATATCCTACGAGTTTCAGTTTTCACAACCCTTTACCGGACCCTCATTTCTAATATGACCGCATTGAAATCCTTAATGGTGGTAATCTCTCTCGTTTTTTAGATTTGCACTAATTTGCTGTTTTAATTGATATTTTGCAACTAAATATTTAAATCAAAATCTAGTTTTTCAAATTGGAAGCATAATAAAACTCTTTTGAATAATGCGTAAATTATGTATTTGTAACAGATAGTCACTTTAAAATAGCTTAGACATAGGATGTTAACAGAAGCTTGTAGTTATATTATTTGTAAGTTTATAACAGTAGTATTAATTTAACATGATACTGTAAGGAAAACGAGCGTTGGCTTGCCAACAACCTGATGTTTACAGGTTGGCAAGGTATTAAAATATGAAAAAAAAATGGGTGCGTGTACTTATGTAGGCGCGTGAGAAGTTATCCTTCTTTGGCATCGTTTAAAATTAGTTTTTAATTGCATGCAAATAATTAATTACAATAAATTAATAAAAAGTCTGGAAAAGGACACAGTCAATAAAGTTCAGTTTTAATTTGAAAAATTAAATAAATAATCCAAATATTCAATTAAAATCGCTAGTGAATATAATTTATTAGAACATATGTGATTTGCACTTGTATGAAACTCAAACACGTATTCCGAATATACAAACTAGAAACATGTGGATAAATATTATAAATATGAATACCTATAACTGTTACTTTATTACAAAAAATAAAGATGTGGTTTTTGGTTCTACTACACCAATGGTCAAGAGATGGCGCTGTAGTCTCCTGAATCGCGCTTTGGTTCCGTTGTTCCAGATTAATAAATACTTTTGATATTATAAATATGAATACCTATAACAGTTACTTTATTACAAAAAATAAAGATGTGGTTTTTGGTTCTACTACACCAATGGTCAAGAGATGGCGCTGTAGTCTCCTGAATCGCGCTTTGGTTCCGTTGTTCCAGATTAATAAATACTTTTGATAGACCTTCACAATGCAGTCGTTAGCACCCACTAAATAGAGATTCTATTTCTATTTTGTTGGTAGCTTTTCTTAATGTGCGGTAAACACAAAAGTAACGCATGAAGTTGGGCTAAAGCGACCAACTTCATGCTGTTAATAATTTGTGTTACAGTGATGCGCGCGCATCTTAAAATTTCACTGTCATCATTTTTTCACTGTCATATTTTTGAAGTATAACTTCAAAAATATGTATCAATGATTAAATAAATAAAAAAAAAATTACAATGTTACAATTCATTATTTCAAATTATCGTCTTTTATGACCATAATAAAGCTCCTATAATAGGTACTTAATGTGTCGTGGAGACGAGGCTCCAGTTAAAACGAGATAAATTATTAGGACATTGGGCGCATGAACTACAGTTAATTACAAACCGTGGTGTCAATAACGAAGTACGTCAATTTTCACTGGTTTGAAAAAAAATGTTCTCCGCGTCAACTCCAATTGTACAGTAGCTGGCTTAAACTTTGCCTCTCTTTATTTTACCGCACCATAAGACTGGTTTCACCTGCGGAGCGGGCTGAGCAGTGCCGTTCGGTGAACGCATTAAACGCTGTTAAACAGCGGCTGCCCAACGGCGCGTGTAGCGGCGTGCCTATAAAATCTGCCTGAGATGGTTTTGCATTCGCTTCCTCCCACGACAACGGCTAACTAGAGCCGAAGTCCGAGTTTCAAAGACGCCCTCTAGTTGAGCCGACTCCCTCGAGTTCGAGTGTTCTAAATCGAATACCTGTTTAGGCACTGGCCAATTCCCGGCTTGAGGTCCCCTTAGGATCTCGCCGTCTTCACACCCAGTGACACTGTAAAGGTCATCTGTAACCAACTGCATACACACTCAAAAAAAATTGTGTGTGTCAGCTCATACGCACGACTGGAGTTTACTCCTTAAGTTCGATAGTCTAACCAGACGCAAAAAGAGTTTTTTTAACTTAAAAAAGATTGATACTGTATGAAAGGGTAAATTAACAAATTAATGAAAATATTATACATTATATAAATAAATATTTATTCATTTCATATACATTTATTATAAGAAATCGACGAAATATTTTACATTAAACTTTTTACAATAGTCAATTTCAGATGTGCATAAATATATCATGAGGAATGTTGATTAATTATGTAATTATTATTATCAGACTATTATCATTTTTTTAAATATTAATTAAATCAACATTGACTGCATTATTAATTACAGTGACAAGTGGTTTATGGTAACTAAAATAAGACACATGGACGTTCGTAGATACGTGGTTCACGAATCTTGAAAATACCGCATCAATGGTTGTACCATACCTCGTTGTCCCCCATGGCTCTATCAGAAACAATATCTAAATTCATTTCTGATTTTAAAAAATTTATAAATGTCAATCCATCATCTTTGTTTGTCAAAGTTGCGCGACATAGGATGCGCACCAAAAACGTAACGAAGTCATTCATCGATAGATTTACTCCTCACATTTATCTCATACCGGGCCCCTTATATATGCAAATCGATTCTTAAGGAGTAAACTCCAAAAATTTGGTTCGCACAGAGTCTGGTCCGGAGCTGCATTACACGTTCATCGAGCAGGCGCTGCGAGCGGGTGGCGGCGTGTCGCTGCGCTGCGCCGCGTCCGCCGCGCCGCCGCCGCGGTTCCAGTGGCTGCTGGACGGACAGCCCATCGACCAACACCGGGCGCAGCACAGGTCATAACGATCATCAAACTAGTGTTGGGTAGGACACGACTTGAAAAAGAGTTTGTAAGAGTAGCCTCTTTTTTGTACTGAACCAGTACAATGTCCCACTTCAAATGAGGCGAGGCGTACTGAAGCTCGGCAATACATTTGAAGTGACGAGTACAAATATGACATTGAGGCGTACAGAAGCTCGACATTACGTTTGTGTGCACGAGTAGCACCTCCTCTACGCACTATCAATCTTGCTGGATCCAGCATGCAGGACAGCGCTATACACGTAAAACAGATAGAGATACAGATGGATAGTGCGTAGAGGACTTAAATGAAATGTTATGCCTTGCTCTCTCTCTCAGAGTTACGAAGAGTGAGTGAGTAACGAGACGCGACTATCGCGACATTTAATGTGAAGTAGTACATTTTAAAATTTTGAGCCGCTCTTACAATTTGGCGTCATGTCCGGGACAAATGTACCGCCTCTTGTAAGTCCTACTCAACACTACATCAAACTTTTATCACACCATACACAACTTTATCCCAATAATTGGTAATCCCAAAAGCTTTCCTAACTCAAGAGAATAGAAGGTACGAGCGAGACTTAAAGAAGTCATTCTATACAGAATGAAGGGGAGGGGCTGGTGTTGAATTTGGTTTTGGGTTTGGAGAGTCACGCCAGAATCGACACCAAATATACCTGTTATTTTGTTTCCTTTATAGCGCCTAACACGTCCTCAAACAGGCCCTGCCAGAATACCAGCGCTTATACAGTGAGAGAATATTTTCTCATTGTATCAGCATAAGCTGAGGCAGGGTCCTGATTGGCCATCTCAAATCTAGTGATTGATTTTTGTTCTTAGGTTAAGTTTCTTTTTTTTTCTCTGCTTCTTATATACAAGATGGCCAATAAAGATTTTTCATTTCATTTCAAGTCATTTCTTTTTACTCTACTATGATTTTAAGAATGGCATAACTCGGGTATGGTTATTGAAGCTTTGTTTAAAAGTTCTCAGAGTTACAGCATAGCACCATTTTACCACTTATCACAGGAGTCGAGTTCATCCATATTACCTGAAAACACTGAAGTCCACAATTGTTCGTTTCCAGGGATCTTTTATTCCACGGACAATAAAATTTATCCATGGTGACTTTGATCACTTAACATCAGTTGGCGCGTCCCCTTGTCTGCCTTCGAAGGCGAAATAAAAAAAAGTTTGTAACTGCGAATACGTATTAGGATATTGTATATCTACAGGAGGAGCTCGATGGCGCAAGTGGGTAGCGCGTTCGGCTGCGATCGTTGAAGTTAAGCAACTTTCGCATGTGGTCGGTCATTGGATGGGTGACCAAAAATTTACTATCTCGAGCTCCTCCGTGCTTCGGAAGGCACGTTAAGCCGTTGGTCCCGGCTACATCTGCAGTCGTTAGCACCCACCAATCCGCACTGGGCTCGCGTGGTGGGTCAAGGCCCAATCTCCTTATTCCATCCATAGGGAGGGCTTGTGCTCCAGCAGTGGGGACATTAATAGCTGATGATGATGATGATATCTACAGGATTGTGCAATTATTTCCATCTGCAATGATAAACAAGATATTATAAACTTGCAAAAGTAGGTCATCATATAAATGGCCAAAATATTTCAATTTTAACTCAACAAGCACATACATGTATTAGGATATTGTATATCTTCAGGATGGTGCAGGATGGTGAAAATATTATAAGCTTGCAAAACTAGTACATCAGACAAATACTATAAGCCATATTATGGCAATCGTTGACTTAACCCTAGCCTTTGTAACTTGCTTGAGACATTTGACGACCTCCGTGGCCGAGCGGTTTGTACGCCGGGTTTCATGGTGTCGCCAACTCGAGAGGTCCCGGGTTCGAATCCCGGTGGGGGCAGATGTTTGTGTGATGAATACGAGCATTTGTACTCCAGTCACGGATGCTTATTGTTTATTTCTATATAAATATACTTATATATGTACTACTTATATGTGTATTCTATCCGTTACCCTAGCATCCCATAACACAAGCCTTACAGTGCTCACTTTGGGGCTAGGCTAATTGGTGTGAGTGTTGGAAATATTATTATTTATTATTATTATAAAAGACAACAGCCTCATGTCCACTTTCAATAGATACTTCATAAGCGAGGAGACGTCTGCGAACGGCGACGTGGTGTCCACGCTGAACGTGAGCGCCGCGTCGGCGGCCGACGGCGGGCGGTACACCTGCCGCGCGCACAACGAGCGGGGACACGCCGACCACTCCGCCAGGCTCAACATATACGGTTAGTTTTATCAGTCAAAAGAGCGGCAAGCCAGCATTCACATGCTCAAGCGGGTCATCCTGATTGAAAGAAAGAAAGAAAATGTTTTATTCAGTGACACAAATTAGTACATGAAAACGATATACCTTATACATAAATACGGCAATACTATCTTCATGGTAATCGTGTGATTTGGGTGCACGTTTCTGACGAGATTCTATAGCTGCTTCCCTTTTCCATCCAAGTTGCTGAGCAATTACTGAGTTTGTACACTCAATTTCACTGTTTTTGTGCGGTATGTGTGACGACAGTAACATTAATTATCAAGTGACAGCCACAGATTACGGAGCGCAGATTACAGAAAATGTATTCTTTCGCACCATGTGCCGGCACGTCATGCGGCTAATCGTTGCTATTTGGTATATGTGTCTCCACAATGGGCAGTGAGAGGAAGGGACTGCTATCGAGGCAGATGCGATTGGCCATGCGAAGTTCCAGCATAACAGGCCCTGCCAGAATACCAGCGCTGCTGTGACACGTCTTGTAGCGTGTTGCGGCAGCATTACGCTGAGGCAGGGTCCTATTGACCACAAATGGTGTATTTTTTTCTTTTCTTTTCTCTATTATATTTTCATATTTTTTTTTGTATGTTGTTTTGTAAATTTATTAATGTGGTCAATAAAAATGATTCTCTCTCTCTCTCAAATACAATAAATTAGGTCTAAACATCTGCGTCACTAAAAAGGCAGTCCACTCAGCATGTGTCGGATGTCATAGACTGTCCGACGCTGGTCTTTCGTGGTTACCTTAAAAAGTAAGAACAAGAGTACGAATTGGCCAGTTAGGTAGAAATTTAATTAAATGAATGACAAAATGATTTATGCTTAAAATATTCGGTACTAGAAAGTTGCTGACTATAAAACCTACTACATTCACATTATAGGTAATGGGGATGATGAGTAATTTTTTTTTCTTCGTTTATCAGGTAGATTATCATAAAGTATTGGACACGTATTTTTTCTTTTTTCACATAATATAAACATTGCAGAGATATATTGATTTGAAAAGTCGCATGACGTCACGTTTGAGTACACTTATAAGTGAAAATTCACTCAAAAGTGACGCCACGAGCCCCTACTCCCAAACTTTGACGCGCTATAACTTTGTCAATTTTGGTTGATTGCCCAAAGAAAAAATACATGTCTATTATTTTTTGATCATCTAACTGACGGACTAAATAGAATTTCGTTTACTGTGCCCCGTCATCACCCCTAATACGGCAATCAACGAACAATACAGCAGTTTGCACGAGTAGGAACTTCGTTTCTCTGTAATTCTAGCAGATATCTTTAAAATTACGTTTAAAGGTTACGATACTATTGATGGTCGATTGCAATACAAAAAACATCACTGGAGCCGCCCTGGACAATCCGCTGTGGCCTACCTCTCTTACTCATGGTTAGTCGTGTAACAGTTTATCTGTAAAATCAGGAATCAGACTTTCTTTGTCACAGTTTATTTATAAGAGGAATTTTCAACTTTCAATTCAAAATTCCATATCGTTTATTCAGTCTAGGCTATTACAAGCACTTGTGAATGTCGAAAAGCTACGCCATCGGTTCGCAAATCTACGGCGGGAGACCTTGTACTGATAAGAACCGGCAAGAAACTCAGCAAGGACAGTTTTTTTCTCCCTGTATTATATACAGAGTCGTCAAATTGAAAAATTACTTCAATATGAGGTAACTCATAAAGTCACTTTCCATTACAAATGCAAATAATATAAAAATTATGACTATATAAAAAACTGGTTTAACAAAGATTAGGAATGCCGTATCCTGCTGTTTAGGCAAAAAAAAATAACGATTATAAGTTTAGTACAACGATCAATAGTACCCAATGAAGCAAGAGCAGACTCATCTCCGCTGGCAGCACCCGTTAACATATACCGTGGTGTTTCCGATCGGAGGAATCAAATTGTCTTCTACACATAGATTATACTAGCAAACCAGTGAACCAAGTGTTCACCAAAAAAAAAATGTATTTAATTAATTGAGAACTTCGGAGATTTTGTGTAGTTTCGTTTGAAATAGAAATCACGTGATTTCTCGAAAACCGGAAGTGCTACGTTACTCAAATCCGGTTTGTAGTCTTATCAGACTATTCTTAACTTATAACTTAAACATTCTCTTTATCTATCTGTTACGGTTTGGTCGCTGAAACAGCACCACGGACGGACGGACTTGTCTATTAGATAAGAGATCTTAGAAAGGTCCTTCCAACTGATCCAACTGACTATCAATCTATATCGTGTCTCTGCGAATCGAATTGGACCTTCTTCTTGTACGAGATAGCAATCATTATTAGTGCCATGGTGTGGGTCATGCTTTATTCAATTTAGATATAACGATATGCTCTAAGAATCAGTTTAATTTCTTGTAACATAGTGAGATAACAAAATAAAGTATTGTATCACATATTGCTATTGTGGTGTCATCGTTATTGCTGATTTCAACACCGCACATCATTTAACTACTTTGTTTATAGTAGTAGGTAAGTAATTTTTTATTTACATATCCACTCTGTTTCAGAAACATAAATAAAAAAAATGGTTGCCTGTAAAGTCGGTTTTACGGGCGAAGATTTTACGTGACAACGTCTTTTTCTCGGTAGAATATTTATTGATATGAATATAATTAAATTGCACAATAGGAACAAGGAATTGAATGAAAATAAGAATTGCACAAATTTTAACTATAGAAATATATTTTGTTTACTAAAACATTGTACATGTAAACTTAAACTTAACACGAGAGACTCATCGTAACGTTACCGAGCGTTACACTTTTTCATAAGTGACTCCCAGCCGCAACCTAATTTAAGACGTTGTCACGTCAAAAAAATGACAAAAAGAACAGAGATGATACGTCATTTTTATGTATTCTTCACCAAGACGAAGTTTAAATTTTAAATATATTCATAACTAGTGGCCCGCCCTCGCTTCGCTTCGCTTCGGTGTAGAGCTGTAGTGCTAAACTATAGTTTTTATTCTCAGGCTTGTGCTATAAACAATGACTTCATCCATAAGGAAGGCTTGTGCCCCAGCTGTGGGGACATTAATCGGCTGATGATGATGATGAATTATCACACTGAATTTTCAAATTGCTATTTAGTTTACGTTTAGACGCGATAAAACGTGATATAATCTATTTAGTATATAAAACTCAAAGGTGACTGACTGACATAGTGATCTATCAACGCACAGCCCAAACCACTGGACGGATCGGGCTGAAATTTGGCATGCAGGTAGATGTTATGACGTAGGCATCTACTAAGAAAGGATTTTGATCAATTCTCCCCCCAAGGGGATAAAATAGGGAATGAAAGTTTGTATGAAACTTTGTCAATTTTAAACCGATCGGTCTGAGACTTTGCATGCAGGTATAAGAAGAATCATAGATGAATGGCATTGTGTATAATACAAGCCTGAGAACAAAAACTGTAGTTTACACTTCAGCTCTACACCGAAGCGAAGCGAGGGCGGGCCGCTAGTGTAACTATATTGTGGTGTGGTGCTCATGCTACGTGGACTGGGTGGTGTAAGCATTCATAATTTGGCATAGAAATACTGTGCACTCCAGTTATCCTTTTGTTGGTGCTGGGTAGGTGCAGGCATTCTACATTAGGCCATAGATTACTTCGTATTTGGCATCGAAATTGTCATTTTATTCCCATGGTCTACCCGCATAGCCATATGTTTCTAACAGTAAATTTGGATGTTCTAATGAACAAAAAAGCAGTTACAATTTTTAAAATCATTTAACTAGCGTAGTTTTTCTAAAGCGATTCCTATAGAAATATTGTTGTTAATTAACTGCATCTGAATATCTTTTATATAATCATTGTTTTCAATTAATTTGCACCTTTTTGATTTTGCAATTTTTATTGTGCTCAAGACAAGAGCCGTAATAAATTGAGGAAGAGTCAGGTGGACCACGGGTAAAAAATATTTCCCGTTGTACAAATCCCAAAAATTTTTGAAAGGTCTGTGCAAGGTGATTAAAATAAACCACCGTTCAAATTCAAAGGAATAAATGTATTCGAAAAGAAACCTTATTTTCTAAGCCTTATATAATCGAGTAAAAATCTAAACATCGCCATTCAGACATCACACTATGCAAAATGATGGCGCCATCTAGTGACCGTTGACAACAACACTTTCACCTACTAACATGCATTTGGGATTTATTGGCGTAAACACCCGTGGTTCAACCAGGTGAACTACGGGGGGGAATAAATAATCCCCATGGTCCACGGGAAACAAAGGGAAATTGTGTGCACTCCAGTAATGATGTTGGTCCCCCCCCCCCAGGGCCGCCGTCGATCCGCGCGCTGGGCCCGGTGCGCGTGGTGGCCGGAGCCAACGCGACCGTGTACTGCCCCTACGCCGGATATCCGATCAGGTCCATAGAGGTGCATCTGCTAGGATGATTCCTATAACGCACTCTGTATATAATTATTTGATTTAAAGCATACTCACTCGCACGCCTTTGTTTTTGTTGCCTGGTTAGTATAATTATTGCATTTAACATTATTAACACATTTGTTTACTGTGTGACCGAAATTTTTCTTGTTAATTCATTGCCCTTTTTTGCATTTTTTTTTGTTCAGACTGTACAAAATTTCCTGTCAGCATATCATTACTTTTTAGTGCCGTTCCGTTGGATTTTATTCTGTTCTATAATAACTTGCGGTTGAGTTCCGATTCAAATCCAGATTGGATTTGATTTGAGATTCAGATTTGAGATTCAGTTTTGTTCGATTGTATTTCATTCTGCTTAGTTCTCGTAAACTTGCATTTTATTCGATTAAGTATATTAAGTTTATTCCGCTATAACTTCATTTTCGGAAGGCTGATAGTCCAAAACATGTGATTTGTTTGAAACTACTAAAACAGTCAAATGATTTTAGGATTTCGTAGGTCTGACAAGGAACCCTTATAAGTTTCGTCATGTCCGTCTGTCCTCCCCCGGTTTTGCTTGCAGACTATTAGCACTAGAAAGCTATAAATACGCCGACAAAAACCGGCCAAGTACGAGTCGGACTTTCGCACCGAGGCACAGTGTTTTATGGAACCAAAAAAATTTACACCTTAAGATTTTTGCATAAATCAATTATTTATACCCTAATAAAGGCAAGAGTTCAATTCTCAGATCACTATTTCCAGTAAAAAAAAAGATATGAAGTAGCAAAGTTTTTGAAATTTGAGCATTAAAAAATTAACAATTTAATTTCCTCAAAAGACGGTTCCATATCTGTACATGAGATATTTGCCACTTGATAAGGAATTATTGAAGGCATAATTTTGCAATTTTATTTTATTTATAAGTGTCCTAGTTTCCGAGAAATATTATTTTTTTTAATTTCGATTTTTATTTTTTTTCTCCAAATATCGGCAAAAGTGGAACCTTTTTTCTCAAAAAGTATTTGAGTTAGACTTCTGGGAATTGAACTCATGCCTTTTTTAGGGTATAAATAATCTATTTATGTAAAAACCTGAACATGTAAATTTTTTTGGTTCCATAAAACACTGTGCGAGGGTTCCGTACAAACTCAATTTAATACCTGTACAAGTTCATGAGAAAAGTAACTTTAAAAGTTTAAAAAAATATTTTTTATTATACACACATCAAAAAAGTTTGCGATCACTTTGAAAAATATATTGTTTTTTTGTGTTACACAAGACTTTTTGTAATTTCTTTTTCTGATAAGATTCTAAATTTCAAAATTAGAATAAGAACGTAGAACAAAAAAAAATGGTTGCCTGTAAAGTCGGTTTTACGGGCGAAGATTTTACGTGACAACGTCTTTTTCTCGGTAGAATATTTATTGATATGAATATAATTAAATTGCACAATAGGAACAAGGAATTGAATGAAAATAAGAATTGCACAAATTTTAACTATAGAAATATATTTTGTTTACTAAAACATTGTACATGTAAACTTAAACTCATCGTAACGTTACCGAGCGTTACACTTTTTCATAAGTGACTCCCAGCCGCAACCTAATTTAAGACGTTGTCACGTCAAAAATAATCAAATTGTTTTTCCATATAAAAAGACATGCAATCCAAGCTGAGATTCATTCAGAAATCTGACTTGGTCAATTTGAATTAAAAATATTTTTTCACGTAAATTTGTCATTTAAAAAATGCCACGAGGATTATCAGATGTTTTAAGAGCCAGAATTGTAACTATTTTCTATAAGACGTTACTTCGTACCAAATTTCAAAATTCCTAGTTCAGGGGAAGTACCCTGTTAGTTTTGATTCCCGTGCGAATTTCGAAAATTTGCGGAGATTTGCGGCATAAACTGCTGTATCTCTTGATTGCTTAGGCTTAGAAGTTTGAGTTTTTCACAGCTCCAAGGGACAGTAGACATGAGTATTAGATATGAATTTCAGTTTGATACCTCCACGCGTTCCTGAGAAAAACGGTCTTGGACGACCGGACAACAAAGTGATCCTATAAGGGTTCCGTTTTTTCCTTTTGAGGTACGGAACCCTAAAATGTAGCATGAAATTTTGAAAAAAAATTGTAACATATAACCTGGGAAGGTGTTTTTGAAGTTATACTTCTTTAGGCGCGTTATGAAAAATTGATGAGAGTGAAATTTTAAGATGCGCGCGCATCACTGTAACACAAAAGCGCTAAAGCGACCAACTTCATGCGTTACTTTTGTGTTTACCGCACATTAAGAAAATCTACCAACAAAATAGAAATATAATCTCTATTAAGTGGGTGCTAACGACTGCATTGTGAAGGCCTATCAAAAGTATTTATTAATCTGGAACAACGAAACCAAAGCGCGATTCAGGAGACTACAGCGCCATCTCTTGACCATTGGTGTAGTAGAACCAAAAACCGCATCTTTATTTTTTGTAATAAAGTAACAGTTATAGGTATTCATATTTATAATATTTATCCACATATTTCTAGTTTGTATATTCGGAATACGTGTTTGAGTTTCATACAAATGCAAATCACATATGTTCTAATAAATTATATTCAGTAGCGATTTTAATTGAATATTTTGATTATTTATTTATTTTTTCAAATTAAAACTGAACTTTATTGACTGTGTCCTTTTCCAGACTTTTTATTAATTTATTGTAATTAATTATTTGCATGCAATTAAAAACTAATTTTAAACGATGCCAAAGAAGGATAACTTCTCACGCGCCTACATAAGTACACGCACCCATTTTTATTTCATCATCTACTATAAAATTACTTAGGTGTTACTTAAACTATTTTTCGATTTAGAGATCCGTTTGCGAAATATTCAACTTAAAAGTGATAATTTTTGTCGAATACGGCTATCCTCTCCTTCTAAAAACTAAACTATTGGCTTGTAAAACCTGGTAAAATTCATGATAATAGTGTTTTTCATGAAATTTTAAGGATAACTATAACGGTTAAGATAGATTTCTTAGTTTAAGAGTTAATAGTGTTCAACTTAAGTTAAAGGCTCTTCTGGGTATAAACATGAACTACGGGTGTGTTTTAGTCAGTAAGAGTCCGACAGTACTGCTGCGATCTACCCTGAAGGGGTAGGCCCTTTAAGCGTAGCAATAATAATTGAAACAACTTTAATTTTATATGTTTTTATATTAGATTTCAGGCGAAAATAATAATTGAGCTTAGTCTATTAACGCATGGTTTAGTGCCGGAATCTTCTATCAAACGACAGAAGATTCCCAATTTCAAATATTTAAAAATCATGACATTACCTTTTTAATATAACTGCCAGCCGTAGGCATTACATGAACAAAGAGTTTACCCAAACAAGGAGGCTGTAACGTAATGGACGTTACAGTACTTTGCAGTCGACTGTAGGGTATCCATGAGGATGCGCCCGCCAGGGAGGAAGCAAAAAAAATCGGCGGTTACTATTCGTATTTAAAAAGAAAATATATCGATTTGATTTTGAGTTAGAGACGCAGTTTGACTTTGATTCAGGTATTTTAGTTGAGGTACGTAGATTGATATTAATTGGTTTTTCAATATTCCGATAAAGAAAACAAAGACTCCGAGCTCAAATATATCGCGGTAACTTCAGGCAACTACGGAACTCTACACTGCGGGTAGCGCGACACGCACTTGGCCGGGTTTTTAAATAAAATCTAAACAACCATTATAGTCAACACCACGGTAATATTATCTATACAGTATTGTGACTCGGCCCTATCCTTGAAATAACTGCCTACGGCCGAGCGGTGCGTATCCACGCGGTAGGGCTGCCCGCCTGCAGTATTTTAATTTCATCTACATAATTGAGTTTCTTTCTAGTTTTGTGATTGTAAATATTTTATTTCATATGTACAAAAAAAATATTGTGAATGAATTAGGAAGTGTTACATAAAGTACATGTTATTTTAAGTGTAATATTTAATAAAAAAAATATAGATTTGGAAAGAAAAATATTTACGCTTCGACTGAGACGTACGCATAGCTTTATTATTAAATTTAATAGTACAATAAATACGCATTCGTATAAAAAGCTTAATTATTGAAGAGTTCAAGCAACCAAAAACAGCACAATATCGACTATTGCTTTTTGCCGTATTAAATTATGTAGGTATTAATTCAATCAAATATTCACAATACAAACGTTTAAGCACGTCTAACTGCTTAAAAAACAATTCACACCGTTCGGTCGTCGCTGCGGCGCATTCGCGACTGGATGCCCACCGGGTGCCGCGCGAACTCTAGTGGCGTAGGTATGACACTCTTTTCGACCGTTTGTAGAATACTGTATAGATAATATGACCGCGTCAACACCATGGGTTACAAGTATGAGTGGAGGTTGCAGTGGTAGCTTATGAGATCGTCCTGCGTTGGGTAGCTCGGTGTCGTGGTGGGCGCGGGGCGCGGGTCGCGCGGTGGGTGTCGCGGGGCGGGTGTCGGCGCGCGGCGGGGAGCTGCGCCTGCGGCCCGCGCTGCCCGCCGACGCCGGCCACTACGCCTGCGCCGTCACCGCGCCCGGAGGCGCCGCCGCGCGCAGGGACATCGAGATACAAGTCCGCAGTAAGACATTCGACCGTTAGGCGCTTTGCAGACGACGGGGCGGGGCGGGCTTTTTGTCCGCGAAGCAATAAAACCGCGTCTGCCCGTCGATGTCTGCGGCTGCCCTCGCCGCGTACACAAAGCACACGACGGGCAGAGGCAGTCAGTTCAGGACGTTCTTTCTAGTGAATAAATAGCACGTCGTTGCTTATTTCATGTACAGAAAAAGGAAGAGTTGCAACCGTAATAGAGAATACTGGGTACACACACAGTAGTGTACCCCATCACTAAAAAGCGCGTGGCGCGGTCTTTTTGCCCTCTGTGTGTTTTTGTAGTATAAGATTCACTTTGTGCTATCGTTCGCGGCGAAATCGACCGGCCCGCTCCGCCCCGCCGTCTGCAAAGCGCCTTATATTAGATCGAATACCGTTATCGATAAGATTTGTTAGATAGCCTAGGATTTCAATATACGATGAAAGTTGTACACTAGCTAGACAAACCTTTGAGTCCATGTTTCCCTGCTACATCGATGGTTGCACTGGGAGGCATCGATTGAATTTAGTCCATATCAAAATTATATGTTAAATCAATCTTCTTTGCGATAGCAATAGCTATCGCAAAAAAAGTGACAGTATCGTCTTTTACAACTTTAAATTGACTCTTTTCGATGCAGCCGTAAATACTGTAAGAATATTGAGTTATTTCTATCTTTTTAAGATGAATTTATATGCTTTATTGAACATTAATAATATTATATAGGTTTGAGACTAGTTTTTAACAGACTTAGCCAAACAGTTCTAAAAATGTTTATTTTTCTCATCACTTAGATCCACCCAAAATATCGCCGTTTATGTTTTCATCTGAATTAACGGAAGGTAGTTCTGTGCAAGTCTTATGTGGCGTGTCGTCAGGTGACAAACCGATGTATTTCTCGTGGCTCAAGGATGGAGCCCCTCTGCCGCCTAATTTACAAGTAAGTATTTCTTTTTAAGTTTTATAAGCCACATCGGTCTCATTCAATTTTCTCTACAAGTAGGTAGTTATTGGGAACTCTAATTCACTTTTATCTCTATATCACAAAACCAAAAAAGGTGAATTAGAAGCCTCCAATCGCTTGTGATTGATTTTTTTTTTGGTTTTGTGATATAGAGATAAAAGTGAATTAGAATTCCTAATAACTACCTACTTCTACATAAAACAAACTTTCACAGATCGAAGAGAAAAGTTTGAATGAGTTTTCTCTGCTAATGTTTTCGGATCTATCGGCTCGCCACAGCGGTGACTACACCTGCCGAGTATCCAACCACGCAGCCACCGTCAACTATACTGCCACACTCAGCGTGAAAGGTGAGTGACCATCCAGTAGGCTAATCCGTTTGACATATCGATTTCTAATTTTAATACTGCATAATTTACTAGGCCATTAATTTGGTTTCGTCATCAGTGGCGCCCGTGTGGGTGAAGGAACCTCTTGATGCAGCAGTGCTCCTAGGAGCTCCTTTGAACGTGGAATGTACAGCCAAAGGATATCCAATCCCCACAGTCACATGGTATAGAAAAATCGGTATGTACAATCGAAAAAAATTATGTGTGTCAGCTCCGAGGCACGACTGGAGTTTACTCCTTCAATTCGATAGTCTAACCGGACGCAAAAAGAGTTTATTTAACTTAAAAAAGATTGATACTGTAAATGCCATATCCACGTTCACTTCTAAAGCTCAATGGTTTTGTGTTCAACGAACGGCGCGGTGGTACACCGACGCGGTTTCTTTGTCGTCGTAGGCAATAAAGGTACTAAAGGTAAAAACGTAACGATGTCATTCATCGATAGATTTCACTCCTCACATTTTTCTCATACCGGGCCCCTTATATATGCAAATCGATTCTTAAGGAGTAAACTCCAATAATCAAATACTTTTCTATCAGCCAAAACTTATGACACATTTAAATGTTTTAGGTGATGGCATATCGTTATCACCGGAGAGCTCTGAACAATGGCAATTATTGGAAAGTATGCTGTGGGATGACAAATCCAGAAGTGGAACTGTTCGTGCACATAATGGAACACTGTCGGCAGCTGTAGCTGCTCGGAGTCACCAAGGAGTATATCGTTGTATCGCTGATAATGGCGTGGGACCGCCTCTTTTAAAGCATATAAATCTAACTGTACACGGTTAGTATGAGTAGAGATATTCTTCAATCCTAATTCTCCTTCATGATGAAGTCTTTACAAGTTTACAATTTAGGTATTTGCTTCAGAACCAGCACATTTCGAAGGATCTGGAGGCAACGTTTCAAGTGTTCGGGGACAAAGTGCGTCTCTATCGTGTCACGCACTCGGTGACGCTCCTCTTACCATACATTGGACTCATATGGGTACAAGGCTCGACCTTAATTCTTACAGGTAATTCAATTCCATCTCTATTTGTATAGCACATTTGTGATCGAGTGATAAGCCATCGTTGTTTCCGGACGAATCTGTCTCAGACGAAATGATCAAATAAAGCTTCGTCGGAAATGTATATCCATCCATGTTATAATGTTCCTATTGCTTTTCAAATACACGTAAGAGATTTCCTAAAATTATATACCTTGCATTTGATTGACCAAGATGGACGGTATCGGAGGTGCGAACGGCGGATGGCCTGCGCTCAATGCTGCAACTGCGCGCTGCTGAGCGTGTCGACTCTGGCGAGTATCGGTGCCATGCTCACAACCAGTTCGGAAGGAGTGAAGTTCTCATGTATCTGCATGTAGAAGGTATAATAGACCATAATGTTTACATGCCAACTTTTGAAATAGACATCAACTAAGTACATATTCTATTAGACGGCATTTTCGATCCACAGAACCTCCAGAAGCACCGAAATCGATAAGACTGGGCGGTGTGGAATCGCGCTGGATCCGCCTCATGTGGCGGTCGGCTAAGAACACCGGTGTATATTACAGTGCATTCTTCACAGCACTGCACGCACTGCCTGGAGTGGACTCCAAGCATATAACCACTAACCTTACTTTAGATACCGTGAACAACGATAGGTGGGTCATATATATTTCCCTTAGGACTGCCACAAAACTACTTAGATTTGATCCCCTCATATGCGTTTCATCGGCATCTTCATACTTTAGATAGAATTCATATCTCTTGCGTGTAGGTAATACCTAGTTTTAATGTTATATTTGAGCAAACTGGCATTGATTTGTTTACACTAGCTTTCCATCACTGAGGCGGGTATTGAGCAGTGCATTTTTTGACTAACAGGCAAATTTTTTTGTAATCATTATGTTCAATGTGTGCATAATCTTGTTGTAATGTATTTTATCGGTGTAGACCTATAATTGGTTTTTGTTATTATTTAACTCATAAGTTTTTACTCTTTTCATTAATATGTGTTGGTCTACTAATAAATATAAAATTTAAAGTTTTGATAAAATTACGTTTATTCCTGATACTGTTTTTTTTATTGTAGAGTGGACGCTGACGGATTGCGAAGCTTAAGCGCTCGTCTTGATGGTCTTCGCCCAGCGGCGGCATACTCCTTACGGATAGCCGCTACAAATCACGTGGGCCAGTCGCCACACTCCGATCCTTTACTTTTCACTACTCTTGAAGAACGTAAGTCCCTTTTTCGACTGTTTTCATCAAATGCCATTCTCATACCCGAAAGGTTGAAAGATAAAAAAGTTTAAGTAAATATTTTCGCTACGCAGCTCCGAATGCTTCACCGCAGAACGTTCGTGTGCGACCGGCCAGTGTGGGAGAACTTCACGTATCTTGGTCTGTAAGTACACCTTACATTTATTTCCTTCGATGTTATTTCCTTTTCATTGAACTTTTACTGGTGTAGGCTCCGCCTCAAGACGGTTGGAACGGAGAACTGCTGGGCTACGTGGTGTCATGGCGGGAGCTCAGTCACTTCGATGGGGACGGCGGTGAATCGAGGAGATCAGGAGCCGCCACCTCCCCGGGTTGGAGCAGCGGGGAACTAGCGGTGGGGGGACTGCGTTCCTTCGCGCGATATGCCGTCATTGTGCGAGCGTACAACTGCGCCGGAGCAGGACCTCCTTCTCCAACTGTCTACGCTACCACGGCTGATGGAGGTTGGTGGCCGCTCATCCTTTTTTTTGTATACAATTTGCACTTATTAACATATTATTTCTTTGTACCGTATCCTGTTCAATCATGAAGGTTAGAATAAGTGTGATCGTTAGCATTCCTATATAAATAAATACCTTCTAAGGTTTTTATAATATTTGATAAAACCTATATCTAATTTAAACTTGAAGCAAAGGTCTATTGAACCACTTCTCACTATCTTGTGATGTTTTTGTCTTTTTATTTTATTATGGTACACCAACAAAATACATACATTACATAATTTTTACAACCTTATTATTGAAAATACTTTGTATGATTTTAATAAAAGGTATACGCAGTAATTTCAATTAACTTTATAACAAATGCCATCTGTTGCATTACATCCTATAAACTAAAAAATATAACCAGTGTGTCAGGCTAGCAAGCACACAGCGAGTCAACACTCACAAGTAATAACGTGTTAAACTTAATAGGATATATCGTGCAGCACCAGCGTCTTGCACTTGATCGGTGAATTGTAAGTGTCAACCCGTCACGACTCCGACCACTGTGCCAAAATCTTTACTAAATTTTTTTTAAATGTGTGAAAGCTCTTGCAAAAAATGTCCAGATTATTGCCATAAACATTGATAATTTCGTTATATTTTATACATATGCGATTAGCTGGGGAACTCTTGCCAAGATTGGTTCGACATCGATGAATATAAAATAAATCCCTACAAACGTAACGGGAATTAGGTCGAGGGACTCTGAACGTAAAATTTTCTAGCAAGGACTCTGACTCAACTAAACCATTTAAAAGTTTATGTAAAAAGCATAAGTCGTGAAGTATGCGGCGATTCTTTAGTTTCAAAATATTGAAAAATCCTAGTCTCTCTTCATACGAGTGACGTGTAGTTATGTCCTTGCAAGTGAACGCTAAGTATCTGGTAAAGGAGCGATTAATTCGTTCAATTCTGTCAGCGTGGATATTATAAATGGGTTCCATATGATACTTGCATATTCAATAATGCTTCTTACTAGGGCGTTGTAAATTACTACCCTGGACTCCACCTTGCGGAAATCTTTGGTGGTCCGTTTAATAAAACCTAACATACGATAATCAGGATTATCATTATCATAATGACACCTGAAAGTCAAACTGTCATCCAAATACACTCCCAGATCCCTTACCTCTGTGACTTTTTTAATTACAGTACCGTCGATACTATAACTTGAATCAGAGGGAAGTCTTTTTTTCGTAAATGTGATATGGTAACATTTGGAAATATTTAAATGCATTTTATTTTTATAGCACCAGTCACGAATAGAGTCAAGATCGCTCTGTAACAGCTGACAGTCATCGTCACCTCAAAGGACCTTGTATACCTTCATCTCATCCGCGAACATTGAACACTGGCTATACTTAATACAACCCATAACATCATTGACAAAGAGAACAAACAAAATAGGTCCAAGATGGGATCCCTGAGGCACACCCGAAGTTGACTTGTATAACTGGGACTCATATCCTCCAGCAACCACACTTTGACAACATTCAAAGAGATACGACCTAAACCATGATAAAAGAGGCTCAGCAATTCCATAAGTCTTTTCTAACTTGCAAAGTCTATTCCATAAGTCTTTTCTAACTTGTCGAAGGCGCTGCTAAAATCCGTATAGATTGAGTCTACCTGACCACCATGATCCAATACCATACTTAAAGTGTTCACATACGATAATAAATTAGTTGATACAGATTTCTTTGCCTGGAATCCGTGTTGTCTATCATCAATCAAATGTCTAGTATGCCCAACAATTAAAGGACCTATTAATGACTCGAAGACCTTTGAAATGGCTGACAGTATTGAGACAGGCCTATAGTTAGAAACGTCCTCTCGAGTCCTGTGTTTTTCAATATAGGAACAATACGTGCCTTTGTCCATTCCTTAGGAAAAACACCATCACTTAATGATTTATTAAATATAAATGTAATAGAAAGTGCCAGCGATGAAGCACACATTCGCATTCGTCTTTGATTGATAACCTAACTCCCTCTAACAGCCGTGTCCAATCATTCTTTGAAATGTAGTAAAAGATATCTAGATATTGTGTTTTTAATAATTTGAATAATGAGAGACGTAATGCAGTGCCGGAGGTGCCCCCATTGTCGGTGTTCTGCGAGGGGGTGTCGGCGCGGGCGGTGCGCGTGCGGTGGGCGCCGCCAGCAGGCGCGCAAGCCACGCGCGGGTACGAGTTGCAGTACGCGCCAATGCAGCTCTCGCCCGGTTTGTCGCATAACACTTTACTTAATGCAATAACCAAAATTAAGTGATCACTTCCGCGCTTCTGGGGGCATGTTTAGCCGTCGGTCTGCATGATGTTTGATTGACTGGTATTCGTCATTGCCACTTATGAATTACACGTACTCATGTTAGTAAAACAAATGTGTACATAGGGGAGGTCTGCCCAGCAGTAAAATACAAACTGATATTTTAATGATGATCGTCAAGAGCGAGCGCATATTGAGCCACTAGACATAGCCACCGTCCGGCTTAGTGGTAGCCGCTCGAACGCTTAATTTGCACCGATGCTATACAAAATGTATGAAAAACTCAACCGCAGCTTATGGTTGCGTTTAGTAGCCGTCACTAGTGACTCAATGTGCACTCGCTCTAAATCTGCCTATGGCAGGTGGAGCTGGCGGGGACGTGCAGACCGCTCGCGCAGGCGCCGAGGGAGAAGCGATGCTGCAGGGGCTGCGCGCCGCCACCAACTACTCCGTGTGGGTGCGGGCCCGCTCCGGCGCCGGCCTCGGCCCGCCCGCGCCGCCCGTCTACTGCCACACCAGGGAGGATGGTAACCCGCCCCGTATATATATGTCACGCTGCAGGGGCTGCGCGCCGCCACCAACTACTCCGTGTGGGTGCGGGCCCGCTCCGGCGCCGGCCTCGGCCCGCCCGCGCCGCCCGTCTACTGCCACACCAGGGAGGATGGTAACCCGCCCCGTATATATATGTCACGCTGCAGGGGCTGCGCGCCGCCACCAACTACTCCGTGTGGGTGCGGGCCCGCTCCGGCGCCGGCCTCGGCCCGCCCGCGCCGCCCGTCTACTGCCACACCAGGGAGGATGGTAACCCGCCCCGTATATATATGTCACGCTGCAGGGGCTGCGCGCCGCCACCAACTACTCCGTGTGGGTGCGGGCCCGCTCCGGCGCCGGCCTCGGCCCGCCCGCGCCGCCCGTCTACTGCCACACCAGGGAGGATGGTAACCCGCCCCGTATATATATGTCACGCTGCAGGGGCTGCGCGCCGCCACCAACTACTCCGTGTGGGTGCGGGCCCGCTCCGGCGCCGGCCTCGGCCCGCCCGCGCCGCCCGTCTACTGCCACACCAGGGAGGATGGTAACCCGCCCCGTATATATATGTCACGCTGCAGGGGCTGCGCGCCGCCACCAACTACTCCGTGTGGGTGCGGGCCCGCTCCGGCGCCGGCCTCGGCCCGCCCGCGCCGCCCGTCTACTGCCACACCAGGGAGGATGGTAACCCGCCCCGTATATATATGTCACGCTGCAGGGGCTGCGCGCCGCCACCAACTACTCCGTGTGGGTGCGGGCCCGCTCCGGCGCCGGCCTCGGCCCGCCCGCGCCGCCCGTCTACTGCCACACCAGGGAGGATGGTAACCCGCCCCGTATATATATGTCACGCTGCAGGGGCTGCGCGCCGCCACCAACTACTCCGTGTGGGTGCGGGCCCGCTCCGGCGCCGGCCTCGGCCCGCCCGCGCCGCCCGTCTACTGCCACACCAGGGAGGATGGTAACCCGCCCCGTATATATATGTCACGCTGCAGGGGCTGCGCGCCGCCACCGACTACTCCGTGTGGGTGCGGGCCCGCTCCGGCGCCGGCCTCGGCCCGCCCGCGCCGCCCGTCTACTGCCACACCAGGGAGGATGGTAACCCGCCCCGTATATATATGTCACGCTGCAGGGGCTGCGCGCCGCCACCAACTACTCCGTGTGGGTGCGGGCCCGCTCCGGCGCCGGCCTCGGCCCGCCCGCGCCGCCCGTCTACTGCCACACCAGGGAGGATGGTAACCCGCCCCGTATATATATGTCACGCTGCAGGGGCTGCGCGCCGCCACCGACTACTCCGTGTGGGTGCGGGCCCGCTCCGGCGCCGGCCTCGGCCCGCCCGCGCCGCCCGTCTACTGCCACACCAGGGAGGATGGTAACCCGCCCCGTATATATATGTCACGCTGCAGGGGCTGCGCGCCGCCACCAACTACTCCGTGTGGGTGCGGGCCCGCTCCGGCGCCGGCCTCGGCCCGCCCGCGCCGCCCGTCTACTGCCACACCAGGGAGGATGGTAACCCGCCCCGTATATATATGTCACGCTGCAGGGGCTGCGCGCCGCCACCAACTACTCCGTGTGGGTGCGGGCCCGCTCCGGCGCCGGCCTCGGCCCGCCCGCGCCGCCCGTCTACTGCCACACCAGGGAGGATGGTAACCCGCCCCGTATATATATGTCACGCTGCAGGGGCTGCGCGCCGCCACCGACTACTCCGTGTGGGTGCGGGCCACATGTCTGGGATACCTTTAGTTGATTGATAATGTTACGATAGTTTCCGAAAATGTTGTTCAGATAAATGATAAGACGATAGTACGAGTAATTTATTGCTACTGTACAATTAACGTAATGAATAACGAGTCGCACAGCGCCGATGTTTGCATAATACTTAAACATATAGAATTTTACGAGTTTGCCCGTACACCCCTCCATTGGCTTGGCACCTCACGGGAATCATCCAGCATTCTTATTATAAGCCACTTTCATTTAATACCTCGTCATCGCGAATTTATATATAAATAGACAGACACGGACTTTATTCTAAATTATTTAGTTCATGCTCTAATACCCTGATAAAATCATTGAGATCTCCCTATTCCATCCAAAAAGAAGGCCTTTGCACCAGCAATAAGGGCATTAATAGGGTGATGATGATGATAATAATAATAATAATATAGCCTCTTTATTTCCATAATGTACAAGTAATAAATATCATAAAATTATTCATAAGTATATGCATGAAATAATAAAATATTACAACAATTAATACTATAAATTAGATTACAATTAGCATTTTAAAATTTTCATTTCATACAATTGTCAAGTAATAATAATAATAATAAAATTCAAATTCTAAATGATAATTGAATGTCAAAGTAATTAATAATTGCATGTCATTATGGACCCCTCAACGAGTAAAGGCCTCCTCCATTTTGCTCCACGTCTGTCTGTCCTTTGCTTTTGTAGTCCAATTTTCACCAGCCTTTCTTATTATGTACTTCATTACCCCACTTTTCTCTCGATCTACCTCTTTGCCTTTTGTTTGTAGGTCCCTGCCAAGTAGTCACTCTGTGTGTCCATTTTTCCCTATCCATTCGTGCAATGTGACCCGCCCATTTTCATTTTAGTTTTAGACAATGTTCCAAAGCATCTATTATTTTTGTAGTTTTTCTTATTTCTGTGTTTCTTTTTCTATTTTTTCGTTATATGTTCAGTACTTACTTGTATGTTATTTTTGGTGTTTTTATTGTATATCCATGTTTGGCAGCTATATGTAAGACCGGGTAGTAAACATGAATCCATTATTTTTTTCTTAAGTTTAATTGATGATGATGATAAGACCCTGATAAATATTAGCATTGTGTGTACCGGCGCAGTGCCCGGGCCCCCGGAGGCGATCCGCGCGCTGGCGGCGAGCGCGGACTCGGTGCATGTGACGTGGCTGCCGCCGGCCGACTACAGCGGCCGCATCACGCACTACATGCTCTACACCAGGGAACTCGGCAAGTGAGACCGCGTTATCGTAAACCATATACTAATCATGAACAATTAAATCAATTCCTTACAATTCATGATTGTTTCCTATAAGTTTTAAAATATTTAGTTAATTAAACAGTAATCAATTTTTATTTTTATTAAAAAAATGGCCATGTAGTAACTCAATCATCCAGTTAAATTTCAGTTTTTTAACGCCTTTGAAGGTAGATGAGCAGTTTGGATAACCTACTGTTAAATGCTTACTGTCATCATCAGCACTGCCAGTGGTGACACAGCCATGCCCTAGAGGAACATTATTTAAAAGCCATAATTTTTGTGATTTGGAACATGACGTCATTCTGTGACGCTAAGCTAAAGATTATATTATGATTTTATTTATTTTTAAGCATTTAACTGCTAGATGTTTAAATCTAAAGAAAAGTTTACTAGAAAAAAAAAAGATTATATTACTTATATGCGCACATAATTTTACTAATATGCGCACCTGAATATGCCTTGCTGACTCTTGAGTCAAGTTGGTGCCTTTTCATCAGGAATTTTGGCCAGCTTCTACACAGGTTTTTTGAGTATCGTCGGACTCTTAGGCTTAATAATAATAATAATAATAATTTATTCATAAATGATTTGGTTTACAATAGTTAGTGGCAGGAGTCCCCTTTTAAGCAAATCAATGCTTGTGCCAGGTGACTCCGCTCCTCCATTACACATCCATTTTTTATGTAAATTTCACAAACTTAAACAATATATATATTTTTTTTATTCTATTTAGAACTTAGATATAAGTTTGCCTTTGCATGAATACGTGTATGTATGTACGCATGTATGTTTGAGCTTGAGCATATGTGTGTGTTTAATAAGTCTTTGTGTGCTCATGATTATTTTTGTGTGGACGTGAGTGTTATAATTTAATAAAGGAAATGAGTTTTAATTGTCTGTGTTATTTTATCTGTTGCAAAAATAATTCTACTTTTTCATAATTCAGGGATTCTAACCAAGTATGTATTAACTTTTTACATTCATTATATGGGAGGGGGTAGATGTCAATTATTTTGTTGATACTATTGTAAATATGAGATGAAAGACTACTGTGTTGTCTACTTGCAAACTTTGTTTTTGTTTGGGGAACTTTGGCTACGTTATGTTTTCTTCTGCACACCCTACCACTGGCTACAAATGGCAAATTTCTATGTTTTTTTTAATATAATGTGTTTTAAAAATAATTTCCTTACTGAGATTAACCCGCAATCGACGTAAAGTTGATCAGTAGGGTATCTTACACGTTTAAAACACATTACTTTTATCAGTGCACGTTGTGAGCGCTCAACCTCAATAAACCTTGTTTTCGCTGCTCCGCCCCACACAGAAATACAGTATACCAAGAGAGACTGAACCAATGCAACGTAAATTCTACACAAAAGGTTCTTTGAAGTATTTTTGTCCATTATATCAGATTTGAAACTGCCCGGTACCACATATCTTAGTGTGCGGAATACCCATATCAATTTTCTCACTCTTCCAGCCAATTGCTCAAGATGAGGATACCAAGCAAGCTTCTGATCGATAGCAACACCTAGATACTTATAATTAATAACCTTTGTGATCATTGGACAATTGCAGTTTATGTCTGTTGGGTCACTGCAGTCATGGACCTTGAGGCAGAAACAGTTTGTGGGCTGATTATTGTCATAAATACTAAAACATATATATTTAGTTTTAGATGTATTGAGTGAGAGTAAGTTGCATTTCAGCCAAGTGGATACACGAGCCATACCTATTTCCGCACTGTTTTTTACATCTCCCCAAGAGGTTCCAGAGAAGACGATTGCTGTATCATCCGCGTATGAGAAAATTTAAGCATTCTTGATCCCTAAGTTACACAAGTCATTAATGTATATTAAAAATAAAGTAGGGCCCAATACGCTTCCTTGAGGAACTCCGTATGTCATTTCAGCATCCCCACTCACGCACTGTCCCAATTTAACCCTTTGTTTCCTGTCTGATAAATAGTTTTGAAGAAGTTTTAGTGGGTTGCCCCGTATTCCGATATTTTACAACTTTTTGATAAGGATGGGAACAGATACGGTGTCAAACGCTTTTTTTATATCAAAAAACACTGTCAAACATTTATTCTTTTTATCCATTTTCTCTGTTACAAAAGAGCTAAGGGAAGTTACAACATCTTCTGTGGATAGACCCAGCCTAAATCCAAATTGGGAGGGAGACAATATATTATATTTATTTAAAAACTTAAGTAGCCGAGTGTTTATTAGTTTTTCCAATATTTTTGATATACTTGGCAGTATAGATATGGGCCTGTAGTTATTGACGTCCTCCCTGTCCCCATCCTTATATATCGGAGTAATAACGGATTGTTTCAACAAAGCAGGGAAGATTCCCTTATCGAAACAAAGATTAGCAAGACGTGTCACAATGGGAACGACATCATTTCTTACAAAATTTAAATAATTAGTTGGGATATCATCCCAGTCGGGTGCACTGTTAGATGTAAGATTCATTAGGACGCTATCTACTTCATTACAGTCAGTGCCAAGGAGTACAAAAGAATTAACATATGTAGGTATAGAATCATTTATATTGTCAGCCTCATGCTCTGGAACTAGGGAATTCTCATGAGCAAGATCCTTACCAATATTCGCAAAAAACTTATTGACATAATTTTCCGATTCAGCGGGTGAAACTTTAATATTAAGTAATTCCGTGTTCTTAGATTTAGTTTGCTTAGAGTATGTAATTTTTTTTATATTAGACCAGAGTAATTTATTATCTGATACCGATTTGCACAGAAGTTCCCTTTCATATTTTGTTTTCAACTTTTTTATCAAATTATTACAATAATTTCTATATCTAATGTAAGTAATTTGTAATATATTATTATGTGGATCTTTTTTTTAAGTTTTTTGACGTGACAACGTCTTAAATTAGGTTGCGGCTGGGAGTCACTTATGAAAAAGTGTAACGCTCGGTAACGTTACGATGAGTCTCTCGTGTTAAGTTTAAGTTTACATGTACAATGTTTTAGTAAACAAAATATATTTCTATAGTTAAAATTTGTGCAATTCTTATTTTCATTCAATTCCTTGTTCCTATTGTGCAATTTAATTATATTCATATCAATAAATATTCTACCGAGAAAAAGACGTTGTCACGTAAAATCTTCGCCCGTAAAACCGACTTTACAGGCAACCATTTTTTTGCAATTTATTTCTATTATTTATACATCTAAGAATACCGGAGGTAATCCAAGGTTTTATGATTCGTTTGCTTTTTGGAATTTTAATTGTGTTTAATTTTTGACAAACAGAAATGTGGTAAAATGGTCTGTTGTATGTTGTATAAATGTATGCAGTATTGCAATGGTTGCTGTAACTTTTTTTCTATTAATTTTTAACATAAAGTGATCCAAACATGCCTGTTCTCTAGTAGGTAACGTGTGCCCAGGTAGTATACCAAATTCAGAAAGCATATTTAAATAATTCACCCTATTTCTATGTTCGTAAGAAAGGTCTACATTTCTTGTTCTAAGATTAATGTTTATGTCTCCAGCTATTATAACGTTCCTATCCTTAGTAATAGCCTCAAGATGCGAGCTTAGAGAATTCAAAAAGCTTTCTGTGTTTTTGTTTGATGGAGAGCGATACATGCACAAAATTATATTGTTTAGTAATTCTATTTGTACACAACAAGCTTCTGCTAGATTTATTTCCTTTACTTTAGTTTTTAAAGAAGATTTAATGTAAACTGTAACCCCATCGTTTTGATTACTCTGTTTACTGGTACTAAAGGAATCATAGTTTACTAGTTGCGGAATATGTTTATTGCTATCAAGTCTGCATTCTGTAAATATTAATACGTCCAAGTCAAACTTGAGGTTTGATAAAGTTATTAAAAAGTCGTCGAAGTTACAATAGATGCTTCTTATATTTTGCGAGATAATAGTAAGATCATTTTGTTTCACTGGTATTCGATTTTTAAGATCTCCAGTATTACATTCAAAGGTTCGGCTTGTATTCATGGAATACAAGAGTATTACTAAAAGCAATTTTAAGTACGATCGTGAAATTATTTTTTAATTAATGTGAACATGTCAGTTTGCGAAATTGCCTGATGATCACATTATCAATATAGCTATTATCAGTGACAACTAAAATCTCTAAAATCTTGAATATATTAGAGGACAAAATGTCACATGACGTACAACACTCAATCTTTGTGACGCTGCAACGTCCCGCAACTTGCCCCCAACATTTTGCGACTGTCATATGACGCGGAAGATGTTGCATTGTCCAGCTCTGAGAGCGAGCGCATGTGCCCCGCCATATGTTCTACAGTATAATCGTGTGCGCAACGTACCTTTCAACAAATTAAATGAAATTACGCATCCACCTCGTCTTTTGCTCACGTTTCTCTTCCGAAATAAGTATTTACCCAGCACTAGTCACTGCAACCTCCTCGTGCTACATTTATATTAGCACTGACTAGTGTGGCCGGCAAAATGTTTTGCAACAGTTGTCCTGAGACATTTGACGCAGTTGTCGCGCGCCGCGTTCCGCAACATGTTCCAGTATTTGGACCCCTAATGCATTCGAGGATTCAACATACTGAGTTGTGAGTTGGTGTGAATGTAAGCGCGTGTGTTGTCTATGTGATGCAGAGTGGGCGGGGAGTGGTCGCAGCGCGTGGAGCCGGGTGAGGCGGGCGGTGGCGCGGAGGAGGAGTGTTGGCGCGAGGTGTCGGGGCTGCGGGAGCGCACGGTGTATGAGTTCTGGGCGCGCGCCGCCACACCCGCCGGCGCCGGCCCGCCCTGCCGCGCCGTCACCGCCGCGCCCGCCAAACCCGGTAAGTAGGACAATATTTGTTTTGCAAATATTACGTAAAACTTGATTACCCTGGTCCTAATTTTCTCCTATTTAAAACACTATATACTATAAAATTATTTTTACATAAACTCTAACTGTGGCTTAGTTGCGAGCCGCAGAGGAGGTTCGCGAGCCG